TTTACATCAGACTATTACCTGAAGGGGGGCTCCAGACGAGTTATTCGGATAAAGTAGCTGAGGGGACCACGGAAGAAGTTGTGACGAAAAATTGTTTTCCATGGAAGATATACCAATCGATTCAGTTTTTGATGCTGATTCTAAACATGATATGCACTTTGGTTAAAAATGAATTTTTGGCGTTTCCAATTGTCGATACCGGCGATTTTCAGTGGTTGCACTAACTATTTTGCACTTTTTGGCAACTCTTCCGCCTTTCAAAAATATAATCTATAGCTCAGTTTGTAGAGAATCAAATTCTCTACAAGATAGGCTAATCAAATTTGTGGGGCAAAAACTTAACGATCACAATTTTTATCAAAAACCTCAAAACTCAGTTTTTCTAACAGGGTTTTTGAATTTTTTAGGGATCCTAAATATCACGTACCGGACATAAAAACAGCTCATCTTGTTGAGTTTTCTTTTCTCTTTCTAATGAGACGTCGCTCAAAACAATTGATAGTGAAATGGCTGAGAAAAAAGCAAAAGACGACTTGACTGGTTTTTTAGAAAACAAAAAAACTTTTTTTTGAACATCTTATATCTCGGCAAAAAAAAATTTTCCGTCTAAAAGTTTTACTGTGTAGGTTTCTCAATATGAGCTATCGAATAAACATAGTTAGAGTTGGATTTGAAATTTGACCATGTTATGTGAATTCTCGATGGTCCGGCGGAGCCTCGCTTAATAATCTTCCTATAGTCTAGTTTCTATTTCTGAGAGAAGTTGTTTTTTACTTGTGTGACTACCAACTTTCATATTCATGAATTACCGTCAGATTGCTGAATCGTAGGCTATGATTCATAGCTTGAAAGATAGAAACAATGTTGTGAAAAAATAAGAACAATTGTCGATGCATGATTCACAATGAAAATAGTGAAGAATTCGAGTTCAAGCAACTAGGATATGACAAAAAATAGTAATTCGTCTTCAGTTTGTTCGCCTCGCCTGATTAGTCTCTTTTATCTGTTGCATTATTCTTTACTTTAATAAGTATCTAGACATAAAAATACTTACTCGAACGACAACCACAGGTACATCATCTTTCAAGCATTCACATATAGCGATTAATGTTTTGAAGTCGCCACCAATTAATAACATAACAATAGGAGTATCAATACCATACTCTAGAATAGAAATTGACTTTTAGGCTTATCACCAAGTCTCTTCTGGTATTTTTAACACATACTATATTGTTCTGGCTGATAATCACCATATATAGGTGATCTCAATACCCTACTAATGCTAAGCTCATGCTCAATCTCTTGACGTTTCAATAGCAAATCATTCATGCCATGGTTCTGAGGTCCCAATAATAAATCGTTCGGGTCATTTGACGCACCGTTGAAATTAAAAACATGAATGTAATTCTGTTTATCATACTCAGTTGACATGTCATCTGAAGAATAATATTTTGCATGATATATATATATATGTCGTATCGAAGTTACACCGGTCGACGAAGTTATAACTTCGACAGAGAAATTTGTCGAAGTTATTTTTAATTCGCTTATCAACAGATAATTTACCAAATTGAGTATTCTGATGCTGAATGATGATAAAAAATTAAGTTTTTTCTAACAAATATTCATTTATTTAACGATATCGTTAAATAAATGAATATTTGTTAGAAAAAACTTAATTTTGTATCATACATT